GGTGGTGAGTTTGAACCGCCAGCCTTCTGGTTAGCAGTCAAATGCCTTAGGCACTATGTCACCAGAGCTCCCATATATAAATATAGGTGCTAAGTATATATTAAAGCATATATACATACAAAGAATATATGCTTTAATATATTTCTATCTATATTTATATAAAAATTTATGTGCTTTAAAATCTTTCATTTATCAGCCTTTCATACTATCTGCAGCCAAATATGTACATTAATTGAAATCATATAATTGAAATTTTTTTCCATGATGATGCACTTCCAAGTGGTAAATTTTTTTCTTTTGGATTAAGTTATTATTGTCATTATACAACTAACCAAAACAATACAACATGGTACCTATTTTTAGAAATAATTTTTAAACATTCCTAGTAAAAGTTTTTTGAGGTATATCTCTTAATAAAGTGGGTTGAGGCTATTTTTAAAAATCAGTTAATGAGTAAATATTTTTTACTGCTAGACTAAAACAGGATTTAGCATCTATGTTACGCCCAGCTTTCATTTTATACCTGTAAGCATCATGGGAATGGAAAGAGTTATGTTATAGCAATATTACTTAATTATTTGAATTCTTCCAAATCAAATCTTAAAAATCATACTGTGATCATTACTCTGAATGATCTGTCAGCTGACAGTTCAATTAGATCCTCCTTCAATTTTGTTGAAAGCAAACATGTTGAAATCATTTACTTTCTCAGTTTCTGGGAAGAATGCCATAACAATTTGACTAACATTTCTCATATGACTATTAATCATACCTGTTACACCTTCTCATAGGGGCACTTTGGTTAACTCAACACATTCAGAACAGAGTAGGTAAATTAAGACACTACTAATGCTAATATATCTTTCTAGTGTTATATTTTTGATAAAAGTTTTTTCTCATAATTAATTTTAACTATATTTTCTAAAAAACCTTGAAGATTCAGATTAAGCTCATTTAATTTGTGGAAATATTTGCACATAACATAATTGGAAATGCCAGTCTTTTACTGTCAATGAAAGCAGCCAAATCAGACCTCATTTCTGATACAAAGAATCTGACATATTTTTTCAATTCATTACTCATAGGACTGTCATAAGGATGACAGCCACCTTTTTTTTTTATGTCTAATTCTAAGATAGGTAGAGATAGATAAATCGAGAGGTAGATTAGATGGATGGATAGACAGACAGATAGATACAGGCATGGATGAAATTGGTCACTACCACCTTCAACACTTATTATTCATGGGTCTTTGCTCTAATACACTGGGCTGTCCTTCAGAGTCATACATTCTCTGAAGAAAGCAAGAATGTTACACAAAAATTGGCTTTTCTCTTTCTGCCCCACTCTACAACCCAAGTCAAATCCTCCAGGAAAGGCCTGAAGACTTTAATTAAAAGAGATTTTGTTTGTTTGTTTGTTTTAATTAAAAGAGATTTTGAAGACATTAATATTTAATACTCAGTACCTCTGGTGTCACAGAGGTTTTTGCTCCTAGGACAAGATTCAAGAAGGGGCAGAGTTTGCCTTATTTTGTGAAGTGAGAGATGCATCAGGAAACTGACAGTGCCTCGTTGTGATAATTAAGGTTATATGTCAACTTGACTGGGCCCTGAGTGGTTGGGCAGCTGCATGCAGTATTCCCCATGATGAGACTGGTAATCATGTCCATGATGGAATCTACAGTGAGCAGCTGAGTAAGCTGCCTTAGGGATGTGGTCTGCTTCCTGTGTATAAGGAGAAACATTGAGAAAGTTCTCTTGAGCTTTTTGGCACATCTGGATCCTGCATTTGGCCAACTCTTCACCTCAGTGACCTGTCATGTTGTCTGCTGATCTTGAGACTGTTTCCAGGCTTGAACTAGTGGCCTGCCATGTTGCTTGATAATCCTGGGACTATGCCTTTTTACTTGTTTACCTTGGATTTGTCAGCCACAGCAGCCAGCAGTTGCCTGAATGAAGATATGCCCCCAGCTCCAGTGGACTGGGGGCAAGAGGCAGAGCTGAAGCCCAGGTTGAAGGGCCTTCACCCAGCCCCTATAGCTAGCACTTTTAACTTGGACTTCTAGCCTCCTTAACTGTAAGAGAATAAATCCCCGTTTGTTAAAGCCACCCACTTGTGGTATTTCTGTTATAGCAGCACTAGATGACCAAAACATTTGTCTACTGTGCTTTCTCAGGAAGATTAATACCAAGAAAGAGAGCATAGGAAACACTAGTTAATACTAAGAAAGAGAACATTGATTTCCTTGAGGCTTTCCATGCCATGAAAGGCTTTGAAGGCCAAAGGGTTGTGTTGTTGTAGATATGTGTCAGTCTGAAGACTTTTGCTTAAGATGACCTTGGCTTTTACAATGATTGAGGTCCAGACTTGGTTTTATTTTTTTTATCTTTATATTTTTTTATAATTTGGGAATTCTTCTAAATAAATAGTAAGTTCCTTTAAAAAAAATTGATTTCCTTTTAAAGGCAATATGATGAGGTACAACTATGGTCTCTCCCCATCTAGAGCAAAGAAGAGTGAAGAAAATCAAAGATACAAGGAGACAATTAATCCAAAGGACCATCTGAACCACACCCACCTTGACCCTGAGACCAGAAGAACTAGATGATGCCTGGCTACCACTGCTGACTACTCGGGAAGGGATCAAAATAGGAGGTCCTGCATAGACCAGGATAAAGATGTGGGATAAAATTCAAAATCATAAAAAAGACCAAGCTTGTCTGATTGAGACTGGTGGAACCCCCAAGACTACTATCCTTAGCAGTCTTCAAGCCTGGAACTGAACTCATCCCTGTGCTCCAACTTTAAGCCAAGTGATGTATGGGCCTATGATGAATAATAATACTGGGGAAGTACACACTCATTGTAGTAATCAACCTTAGAGATAGAAGGGCAGCATTTGCCCAGAGTTCAGACTAGGAAGCAAGAAGGGATAGGAAGGAAGGATGAAAGGAAATGGTAAATGCAGGGAGGAAGTGAGAAGAGTGCTCTTCTCATTGTAGGGATTGCAATGAATGTCAATAAACAATATGTGTATGAACTGTTGAATGGAAAACAAATGTGCTCTGTAAATATTCATCCAAATCACAATAAAAAGCTTTAAAAAAAAAAAAAAAAGGAAAGAAACAAAACATAAAATAAAGGCTGTATGCTGTTCCATTGTATGAAGGTACCATAGCTTATTTAACCCAGGCCTTGAATGATGAGTATTTAAGTTGTTTTCAATCTATTTTTGAGATTATAAATAATGTTGCAATGAATAATTTTGTACATACTCCTTGGAATACATGTAGGAGAATATCTCGAGGGTAAATCCTGGATGTGAGATTGCTAAATCAAGGAGGACAGGCATTTACAATTTCTGTCAGTCTTGCCAAATTGCCCTCCATAAAAGCACTATTTACACTCCCACAATGGTGAACGACATTGCATATTTTCCCTCACTCCACCCAATACTCTGAAATTATTCTTTTTCATTCTCTTATGTTTGTTTTTACTCTCTCTGTTTTTTCATTTTCTTTTAAAATACTTAATTGATCTGGAATTTATTTTGATATAAGGAGTCAGATGGGGATACAACTTTATGGCCCCCTCATTATTCTAACACCATTTATGAATAGGCCATCTCTCTCTATTTGTATAAAATCTGCATCTAGCACATGCATAGTCCAACTAATTTGTCCCACTGACCTGACTGCCTATTCATGCCTAGGACTGAGCTGCCTGTAGTACTGCTAGTTACCTATTATTTCTTTTCTATTTCAGATTTGAGTATTCTTGCACACTTATTTCTCATGAGAATTTTACATGGGCATCCTTATTCCCAAGAAAATAAAGTAGATGTTTTTCTTGGAATCATCTTAAGTGAATAATTAGGGAGAATAATTAGGAGAATTAGGGAGAATATTAAGTCTTCTAATCCAAGAACAGGGTATTTTCTCCATTATTCACCTCTTCCACTGTGCCATTTTGAAATGTCCAGTGGGGAAGCTCCTGGTCTGTCTGGGAGAAGTTACAAACTGAGTATGCTCCCTATTTAGTAAGAGCAGGTCACATTGTTATCCAGAATCAAGGGATCTTTGTGGAGGCCTGCTTGGACCATTGTAGGGCTGAGGGAGGAGCAACTTGCTACTTGGCCCCCTTCCCCTGCTCTCCCCTGAGCCCATCCCAACAGCCCCCCCTTTTCTGTTGCAAGGACTTGAAACATTTGTAACTTAATCAGGCCTTATCTCTACAGAAGCATCTAAGGGTAAAACTGCCTGGTACCATGGAAACTGGTCAGACCTTGTCTTCCCTTAAGGTCGCCCCCACCATCACCATCAATGCCCAGAACTTATCACAGAGGAGCCAGGGGAACCATTTGGCTTGGGCCTCATGTTCACAGAAAGTCTCAAATTTACACTTTTCACATCATCAATTGAGGTAAGTCGTGGAAGTGCACTGGGAGAACAAAAGGAAGAAACTTATCAGAGAACTTAAAATTTGAGTCCCATTACAACCCCCATGCCAGCAAATAAAAATACATTTTTGTATAAACTGTGTAGGTAACTAATTTGTGAATAGGATAATCATATTGCAGAATTTTGCTCCGTGTAAGGGAACACTGAAAATATTAAGCCTATGCATTCTGAGTGACACACAGCAATCATTCAAACCATAATTGAGATAATGCTCTGTTTCATCAAAAACTTTCAGTTTACATCACTTTGTCGCTAAAATTCTGGCTTACGAGAGAAATACTTCAAATATACTTTTTGTAAAACAAAATAGAACAATTATATATCTCCTTGCATTTTTCAGACTAAAATAAAGATTAAACATATATCATGATTTCTATAATTCTGTGCTGGCATAACTTCATTTTTCATGTATCAAAGAACTCAAAAATAGAAAGTATCCCAGGGCTTTCTGGAGGGCAGTACAGGCTCTCAATGCAACATCACACCTTACGACCCTGGGCTTAAGAGGTTCCAAGTACAACTCCTATCTTAACTCACATAACAATTTCCTTCCGTGTCTGCTCCAGCATCATGTACTGCGTCCATTCCTGTTCAGACTCGTATGTCTTAGACTGATCCACGATTTTTTGGAACATTGTCCTCTTCCTGCAAAACATGCCAGTTTGTCAAAGGGAGCAAGTCTTAGAATAAAGCAACATCTGGGCTTTCTAATATTGGCTTTTTACGATGGAGGCAGAAATTACAGATGATGCAACAGAATTAACAAAGCAAGGATAAAAGAACCAAGGCTACGAGTGAAGACCTAGGTTGTAATCCAAACTCTCTCACTGATTTGTTGTCAGTTGGTAACTCTATGGACCTCAGTTTCCCCATCTGTACAATGGGGATAATAATGTCTAACTCACAGGGTTATAGTGAGAGTTAATATAGACATAGCACAAGTGTTATGCATGGTATATATTGGTGTGTACCATCAAGTCAATTCCAGTTCATATTAACCCAATATGACAGAGTAGAACTGCCCCTTAGGGCTTCTTAGGCTGTGATTTTTATGGGAACAGATTTCCAGGTCTTTCCTCCTGAATAGCAGCCGGTGGGTTCAAATAATGACGTTTTGGTTAGCAACTGAGCACTTCACCCATTGTGCATAGTACCCAGCAGATATTAAATCTCTTGGGACTATAGTTATACTTAATATACTATTAGTATTCAAATTAGAAGAAATACTAACTTGAAATACAGGGCGAGGTCTGTGGCTATGATTGCGATGTCCATCATGTGGATTGCATGCTCATGTTGCCTGCGATTGAGGTTTTGAAAGATATTTAGGCTCTAAAGAGAAACCCAAGGAGAGATGTGAGAACAGATGCTGGCAGTAAAGTCACCCAAATACTGAAGGTCACCCCAGATGATAGTGGAGTGCTGCCTGGGCATACCCGGGCTCCTTGTGAGACGGAGCCTCCCATTCAGGCCCAAGGCCAGTAAGAAGGCCCTCATCCTACCTCCTCTCTTAGCAATGTTTTGCCAAATTCCAAGTGATGCCTTTCTAAGATGGAAGAACCATGGAGCTTGGCCAGTGGGTTCTGGGATCTGCATGAAAAAGGGAAAAAGACCAACATGGAATGGTCAAGATGGAAGTTAATGACCTCATCCAGTCTTGCCACCTCCCAATTTTGCAGGCAGAGAAGCTGAAGTCCAGAAATGAGAGGGACTTGCAAAGGGTCGCACAGTGAAGTAGTGGAAACGTTAGGTCTAGACATCAGGTTTCCTGGCTCTCAGTCTTTAGCCTTCTCTACAAGTGATTCTGAGCCTGCTTTTGGCTCAGAAACTCTGTAGAGAATCTGTAGAATAGTGTGAACCCTTACCTCCAGAAAAAGGCACAAATACACACAATGCCATGTGCAATTTTAGAGATTTATAGATTCCCTGAAGCCATCCATGTGCACTGGCACTGGGCTATGCTTCAAAGGTCACCAAACCCTAATCTTCCATAAGTAGTATGTTTATTATTTCTTTATCTGATAAGTACTTGTTGAATACTTACTATTGCCAAACACTATGCTTGGCATTTAGATTCCTGGCTATAAATCTTTATGGAAGTAGATTGCCCTGTCTTCCTTCCACAGAGCAGCTGGTGGGTTTGAACTGCTGACCTTCTGGTTAGCAGACAAGTGCCTCAACCACTACACCACCAGAACTCCTTTAAAATGTAAAATTTAAGCATAATCTCTAGCCTCAGAGGCATGTGGGAAAATTGAGAAGTCTCAGAGAAACATGAGTTCCAGTTTGGTTAACCACTTACAGACTGTGGTCCCTGGACAGAGCCTCAGTTTCCTCATCTGGAATATGGGCATAACATTAGTTCTTGCTTTGCCTAGCCCATAGAGTGGTTATGAGGCTCCAATGAGATGATGGTTCAAGGATTGTGCTTCAGAGGCTGTGTGGAGCGTAAGCTCTGTGAGGACAGGGACTGTGTTTGTTTTGCTCACTATGGTCCTCCTTTGCCTTGCATAGGGCCTGCTACACACTTATTGGGAGCATTAGAAATGCACAGTGTATGAGTGAACCATTATCAGTTACCAATATCTTGGCTCAAAGTAGTTCAGCAGATAGGGCAGGGAAGGAGAGTGAGGGAGTTAAATAAGTTTTCTGTTGCTCCTATAACAAAATATCACAAACTTAATGACTTAAAACAACACTAATTTATCCATTTAAAGCTCTGGAGGTCAGAAGTCTAAAATGGGTCCTAGGGCTATATTCCTTCTACAGGCTTTAGGGGACAATCTGTTTTCTAGCCTTTTCCATCTTCTACACGTTGCCCACATTCCTTGGTCCTGGCTACTTCCTCCATCCTCAAAGCCAACAGCATAGCATCTTCTCTCTTCTTTGACTTACTGCTTACCTTTCATAAGGACTCGTGTGACTGTACCAAGCCCACAAAGATAATCCTAGAGCGTCCCCCATCTCAAGGTCATAAGTGTAATCATATCTACATATATCCTTTTGAATGTAAAGTAACATATTCCCAGCTCCAGAGATTAGAGCATGGACATTTTTAGGCCATTATTCTGTCTCCCACAGAAGTGGACCCAGATCCCGAGAACAGGAGGAAGTGAACAGCAGAATTTTCTCCTGGCCAGTGAGGTCTTTCTAGGTAGTAAATCCCTGGATGGGCTTGAATGGGGGCGGTAAACTCACTTCATCTGGTAGAGGTTGTTGGTGCCTCTGTGGTCAATGTCATGACAGAAGGCAGCAGTGACCATGGCCAAAGCTTCCAGGTCCGTGAAATACCGCTTCAGCTTTCCCGTCTACAAAGGCAAACAGAGGTGCAAATTCCTTCTTTTTTGTGAAGGCTGGAAGTAGAGTTTAGAGGGCAGATGTAAGGGGGAGGGTCCAGAGTATAGAACATGGGTCTGATCTTGCCTCTGCCTTTGGTTCCAGAGTGACTAGAGGTTTGCTCGAGACTGGGGGATTCTTCTGGGATGCAAGACTTTCAATGCTAAAACTGGGGCAGTTCCAGGTAGACAAAGATAGTGGACACCTCCTTTCTGAGTGATCTTAGCTAGTCTCATCTCCTCTGGACCTAGTACTCCAATCTGTACACTGGGGGTGGAGGGAGTTGGAATAGATAATTTCTGAGAAACTTGGAATTGTCAGTTTTCAGGAATGGAGAGTTTTTGAGCATGGCCAGACTGGTAAAGCAAACCTTCCAAACCTGGTCTACCGGTTTAAACATAGCCCAGAGCAATCTTTTCCTGGGACTTCTTCAAATACTTAACTCCTCTCTTCTCAGTGTTGGAGGGAAAGAGTAAAGAATTGTGGGGAGGTGACCCTAAGAAATCAGTAGAGTCGAAATAATGTCTTGTAGTGTGGTGGCCAGGCCAGAAATCCTGCCTCCAGGCCCTAATTCCTGCTCATTCCAACCTGGAAGGGGAAGGAATAAGCAAGAAGAGACTGGGCAAGAGCAGGAATTTGCATCATAACTGGATGAGGAAACACTTTCAAGTGGAAAATAAAGGGCTGCAAGCCCTCTAAAAGAAAAATACTGATGCAAATACACAAAGTAATGTCCATCCAATGACATGCTTTGTAACACTGTAATGCACAGTGAGACACTGGGAACAACCTCCATTTCTCACAATAGGGGGCTGGGTAAAGAAAGTTTGGTATAAAACTATGGTACATGCACCCAATGGAACACTAAAGAACAATGTAGAATCTGTAAAACACCGCATAATGTGGATGAACTTGGAGGACATTATGCTAAGTGAAATAAGTCAATCAGAGAAAGAGAAATATTGTATTAGTTCATTATTGTATAACGTCAAGGAAAGGTTTACATACGGAGGAAACTTTCTTTGCTGGTTATCAGGGCTGGAAGGGGAGAGGAGGGAACACAGCAAAAAGAAAAAAAAATGGTATATTTAAACAACAGTTACCAGGCAACTGTTGTCAGACCAAAAGCGGGTCCCTACCCTGTGCTCTTTCAGGCCAAAACAGTTTACACACCGAGATTGAGAGGAGAGAAAATTATTGATTGAGAGGAGAGAAAATTATTGATTGAGAGGAGAGAAAATTATTTATTGCAAAGCAGCAGTGCAAGGAGTTAGGGATAGTTAGTACCCAGATCTTAACTCCCTGAGATGCCATGAAACCCACTTTTTGTAGGTTTCAGGAGAGGGGGTTGTGCATATTCACAAAAGGTTGAGGAATTTGGGGCGTGAACTTGAAATGGGTGACAGGATAGTCACTAGTTTCTTGTTATCAGCTGATAGGGGCTTGGGCAGGAGTAGAGGGTCAGCAATTAATTTTTGTTCCCTTCTGTCCACAGGCCAGAGTTCATTTACAAGTTATTTCTAAAATACTTTTAGCAAGTCTATCATCTGCGGGAAGGAATGTTTTCCATTCTTGAGGAACTGAATACTCATCTGCCGGGGTGGAAAAATAGTTGGGGGTAATTTAGTTTACTTATGTTTACTTATCTATTCTCATCCAGGTGCCAGGGTGGGGAAAATAGTTTTTACTTTACTCTGGTTTCACAACCATAAAAATACATCATGAAAGAATGTGATTGATATGTTTTCAAATAAAAAAGGCAAATTACATAGTAGTATCATGTTGTAAACAAAATTAACTGTGTGTAAATGTATGCAAATATGTCTCTATGCTCCTAGAAAAAAAATTGGAAGAAGTTATGTCATGGGACTGGGGTTGGAGATTCACAGCAGCTTTCTTTCACTTTTTATTTGATAGGCTTCCATAGTCTTTGAAGTTTTTTTTATTCTAAGCGTGACTATTTTTGGATACTTTTGGGAGGTCTGGTGGCATAGTGCCTAAGGCATTTGACTGCTAACCAGAAGGCCAGAGGTTCAAACCCACCAGCCACTCCTGGGAAGGAAGATTGGGTAACCTACTTCGTAGAGATGTTGTTGCAGTTGTTGTTATGTGCAGTGGAGTCAGACCCGACTCATAGTGGCCCCTCCTTGGGTTTCCGAGGCAGTATCACTATGGAAGTAGATTGCCCCATCTTCCTTCCAAGGAGTGGCTGGTGGGTTTGAACCACCAGCCTTCTGGTTAGCAGTCAAGTGCTTTAGGCACTATGCTACCAGAGCTCCCATACTGCCTTGGAAACTCAAGGAGGGGTCACTTAAGCAGCAAAAAATAGAGAAGGGAGAACAATGCTGCCTCTGCCTTGTGGAGTCTATGCAGGGTCCTCTGGTGTGGTAGGAACCCCATGCACTATAGCCCTGCCAGCCCACCATACCACCAGCAAGGAGAACATGGTCTGTCCCACATTGAAGCCGTGCCGCCAGTTGTGGTAGGTGATCCTGCGGTAGCCTTTGCTCAGTGAGTACATGAACCGCACCAAGGCCTGTGAACACATGCAGAGCAGTGAGCAATTCATACCCTCCTGAGGCCTGAGGTCCTCAAACCCTGTCGTTCGACCAGAAGGTGGGAACCATGAATGGAACAATGCAGTGCAAACACTCTGACTATACTAAATGGCACAATAGTCAAGCGCTTGGCTGCTAACTGAAAAGTTGGAGGTTCAAACCCATGCAGACACTCAGTGGGAAAAAAGACCTGGTGATCTGCTCCAGTAAAGATTACAGCCTAGAAAACCCTATGGGGCAGTTCTACTCTGTCCCAAGGGGTTGCTGTGAATTGAAAATTGGCTCAATGACACCTAACAACAACAACAGGTACTATGAAAATGACATTGTTATGAAACAAGGTAAATGTTAGTCATCCCACCTATTCCACCCACTGAACTTTACCAGTGATTCCCAAACTGTGCCCCACAGAGCTACTGTCCTGGGAGAAGTAACAAGTGCTTTAACCTGAGCTGTGGGAATCAAAGGCTTCTTTAAGTCAGTGGTCCTCTAACTTGAGTGTGCATCAGAATCACCTAGAGGGCTTGTTTAATCACAGAGTTTCTGATTCAGTAGAGCTGGGAGTGCATGTGCATGAGAAAAAGAGACAATTTGCATTTCTAATAAGTGCTCAGGTGGTGCTGATGTAGTCTTGGGCAACACTTTAAGAATCACTGCTTTAATCAAACAAGACTGGGAAATTCCCCATACCCTCACCCCACCCCAGATTCACTGCCCACACTAGTGGAATCCTTACAGGGATTAAAGTTTAAATTGGTTTAACCCACATCGCCACTCTTGTTTGAGTATATTGTTGTTAGGTGCCATTGAGTCAGCTCCGATTCCTATGGACAACAGAATGAAACACTGCCTGGTCTTGCACCATCTTCACAATCTTTGCTATGCTTGAGTCCATTGTCAAAGACACTGTGTCAATCCATCTCCTTGAGGGTCTTCCCCATTTTCACTGACCCTCCACTTCACCAAGCATGATATCCTTCTCTAGGGATGGGTACCTTCTGACAACATGACCAAAGTTCATGAGACAAAGTCTGGCCATTCTCACCTCTAAGGAGCATAATGGCTGTACTTCTTCCAAAACAGATTTGTTTATTCCTCTGGCAGTCTGTGGTATTTTCAATATTCTTTGCCAACTATAGGATCTTTGTTTTCATTGCATCTATTCAGGCCCTTCAGAACTCCACCCCTTAGCATCCACTAAGAGAAGGCCATTGCTTTGGGCACTGGTCCTGAGATGCCCCAGTTCAGAGGAACTGTGTGTCTCTATTCAAACAAATGACTCATATATGCAATATGACTAATGTATTAAATCTTAAAAGTTGAAGGTACATTCTTTCTAAGACAGTTTAAAGATTGAGTTAAACAAACAAACAAAAAAGCCGGAAAGTAAAAAAATATTTGTTTTGATCTTACCTCCTGAGGAATGTGAAATTTATCCACCACTTTCAGCTCATAATACATCTGTATCCCACATTTCACCAGCTCCAATTCGGTTAGGGGCAAGTCACTGAAGTGGAATTTATTAATTTCATATTTCTCTGCATCTGGTAGCTCTCCTTGCTGTGTAAGGAACAGGGTCAAGTGATGAGGGGATGTGATGTGTTCCTGGGTCTATTCTCTGCTCACCCAGCCCTGTCCCTGTATCAGGTCTGCTGAGAGGGCCAGAACAGAGGGGAACATTCATGATTTGCAGAGAGACAGGCATGCCCAAGAATGGCCTGAAGTTGTTACGTATGGGGCCAGCTCACCAAGATCTCAGCCAACTCTTCTTCTTCACAATCGCAGGGCTCCTTTCCATACACCTCTCTGGTTTTCTGCCAGGGTCCAAAAGAGCAGAGTGGGGGAGAAAAAAAAGGTTACTGTATCTAAGGCCTAAATATGTCTCAACTTCTCCATTTCAATTTTTCTCCTTCCTCTAAGGACCTTGTCAGAACTACCAATTCAGAGAAGTTGCCATTCATCATTTACTGATGAGGAAATTCAAGGTCATGGGCTTGGAGCCCTGGAGACTTGCATCCAAATGCAAGCTCCTCCACTTACCAACAAATTTAGTTCACACCTCTGATCCTTAATTTCCTCATCTGTGAGATGGAGGTAATAAAAGTACTGTACTGGTGGATTAAAATTAGATTGTCTAATATAATTTATAAAAATATGTATACTGTTGTTAGGTGCCGTCGAGTTGCCTCCGACTTATAGCAACCCCATGTACAGCAGAATGAAACATGCCCAGTCCCGTGCCAGCTCTGCAATCATTACTATGCTTGAGACCATTACCACAGCCACTGTGCCAAACCATCTTGTTGAGGGCTTTCCCCTCTTTCGTCAACCCTCCACCTTACCAAGCATGACATCCTTCTCCAAGGAATGGTCCCTTCTGATAACATGACCAAAGTAGATGAGACAAAGTCTGGCCATTCTCGCTTTCAAGGAACATTCTGGCTGCACTTCCTCCAGGACAGATTTGTTAGTTCTTTTAGCAGTCCATGGTACTTTCAGCATTCTTTGCCAGCACCACAATTCAAAAGCATTAATTCTTTGGTCTTCCTTATTCATTGTCCATTTCTCACATGCATATGAGGCAATTGAAAATATCATGGTTTGTGTCAGATGCACCTTAGTCCTCAAGGAGGTATTTTTGCTCCTCAGCACTTGAAAGAGGTCCTTTTCAGCCAACTTGCCCAGTGCTATACATCATCTGATGTCCTGACTGCTGCTTCCATTGGTGTTGATTGTAGAACCAAGTAATATGAAATCTTTGACAACTTCAATCTTTTCTCCATTTATCATGATGCTGCTTATAGGTCCAGATGTGAGGATTTTTGTTTTCTTTACATTGAGATGTAATCCATACTTCAGACTGTAGTCTTCAGCCTTCATCAGTAAGTATTCAAGTCATCCTCACTTTCAGCAAGCAAAGTTATGTCGTCAGTGTGTCACAGGTTGTTAATGATTCTTCCTCCAATCTTGATGTCACATTCTTCTTCATATAGTCAAGTTTCTCAGATATTTTGCTCAGTATACAGATTGAATAAGTATGGTGAAAGGATACAACTCTTACTCACTCCTTTCTTGATTTTAAACCATGCAGTGTCTCCTTGTTCCATTCAACTATAGCCTCCTGGTCTATGTACAGGTTCCTCATGAGTAGAATTAAGTGTTCTGAAATTCTCATTCTTCTCAACGTTATTTACAATTTGTTATGATCCAAACTATCAAATGCTTTTGCATAGTCAATAAAATACAGGTAAACATCTTTCTGGTATTCTTTGCTTTGAGCCAAGATCCATCTGACATCAGCAATGATATATCCCTTGTTCCACATCCTCTTCTGAATCCAGCTTGCACCTCTGGAATTTCTTCAGGAATACACTGCTGCAAACATTTTTGAATTATCTTCAGTAAGATTTTACTTGCATGTGATATTAACGATATTGTTCAATAATTTCCACATTCTGTAGGATCACCTTTCTTTGGAATGGTTACAAATATGTATCTCTTTCAGTCAGTTGGCCAGGTAGCTGTCTTCCAAATCTCTTGGCATAATTGAGTGAGTGCCTCCAGTGGGGCATCAATTTGTTGAAACATCTCAATGGGTATTCCTTGTTCTTCAGCAATTCCTTCAGTGCAGCTTGACTTCTTCCTTCAATACCATTGGTTCTTGAACATATGCCACCTCCTGAAATGGATGAACATCAACCAGTTCTTTTTGGTACAGTGTCTCTGTGTATTCCTGCCATCTTTTTTTTTTAAATTGTGATTTGGGTGAAGGTTTATAGAGCAAATTTACTTTCCATACAGCGGTTCACATACACTTTGTCTCATGACACTGACCACAATTTTCCACAATCCTGCCATCTTCTTTTGATGCTTCCTGCATCGTTCAATATTTTGCCCATAGAATCTTTCAATATTGCAACTTGAGGCTAAAATTTTTTCCTCAGTTCTTTCAGCTTGAGAAATGTTGAGTGTGTTCTTCCTTTTTGGTTTTCTAGCTCCAGGTCTTTGCACATTTCATTATAGTAAATGGCTTTGTCTGCTTGAGCTGCTCTTTTAAATCTTCTGTTCAGCTCTTTTATCTTGTCATTTCTTCCATTTGCTTTAGCTACTCTCCTCCGCTCAAGGGCAAGTTTCAGAGTCACTTTTGGTCTTTTCTTCTTTTCTCATCTTTTTAATGACCTTTTGCTTTCTTCATGGGTGGTGTTCTTGATGTCATCCCACAATTCTTCTGGTTTCTGATCACTGGTGCTCAATGCATCAAATCAATTCTTTAGATGGTATCTAAATTCAGGAGGGATATTATCAAGGTCATATTTTGGCTCTTGTGGACTTGTTTTAATTGTCTTCAACTTCAACTTGAACTTGCAAGTGAGCAGTTGATGGTCTGTTCCACAATCAGCTCATGGCCTTGTTTTGGCTGAAGATATTGAGCTTCTCCATTGTCTTTTGCCACAGATATAGTTGGTATGATTCCTGTGTACTCCATCTGGTGAAGTCCATGTATATAGCTGCCATTTGTGTTTTGAAAAAGGTATTTGCAATGAATAAATTGTTGATCTTGCAAAATTGTATCATGCAATCCCCAGTGATACTTCTGTCACCAAGACCAAATTTTCCAACTACCAGTGATTCTTCTTTGTTTCCAACTTTCACATTCCTGTCACCAGTGATAATTAACACATCTTGATTGCACATTCAGTCAAGTTCAGACTGCAGAAATAGATAAAATTCTTCAATTTCCTCATCTTTGGCTTTGGTGGTTGGTACATACATTTGAATAATAGCTGTATTAACTGGTCTTCCTTGTAGGCATATGAATATATATGGATATAGAGGTCTCAATTTCTTCATCTCTATAATGAGAATAGAAATCCTCACCCTGCCCACCTTACTGGGCTGATCTAGTCATCAAGCAATATTATGAGTATGAAATTATCTTGTAAACTATGAAGGTGATGAACTTATGAAAGTTTCCCTATGAATATCCAAATCTCTCTGAACTACTTTGATCACTAAAGTCCTCTCTGGTCTGATTAGATCTTCTAATCACTGACAGCATTGTACTTCAGGAAAGGCCTTGAAATATCCTTTGTGATGATGAATGCCACACCATTCCTCTTTAAATTGTTATTCCTGGCATAGTAGACCATATGGTTGTTGGTTGTCTGATTCAAAAATGGCCCAAACCCGTCCATTTCAGCTCACTAATGCCTAGGATACCAATCTTTATGTGTTCCATTTCATTTTTGACAACTTCCAATTTTCCTAGATTCATACTTCTTGCATTCCATGTTCTTATTATTAATGGCTGTTTGCAGCTATTTCTCCTCAATTTCAGTCATGCCACGTCAGCAAACGGAAGTCTCAAAAGCTTTACTTTATCCATATCATTAAGGTTGGTTCTACTCTGTTGATGCAGCTCTTTCTCAGTCGTGTCTTGAGAGGCTTCCAACCTAAGGAGCTCATTCTCCTGCACTGTATTTGACAATGTTTCTGGGCTATTCCTAAAGTTGTACAGTAATATATCAGTGCTTCTCTGCTATTCATAAGGTTGTCCCTGACCAATTCTTTGAGCAGCAGATGGCCTCTTCCTTCTTCCTAGTCTGTCTCAATCTGTAAGCTGTGTTGAAAACTATGCACCACGTGCAACTGTCCTGGCATTTGAAACACCGATGGCACAGCCTCAAGCCTTACAGCAACATGCAAGCCACCACAGTACGACAAACTGACAGACAAGTTTGTCTCCCTCAGCTGTTCAAAACCTCTCCACCTTCCCCTTACCTAGATCCCTGCTGCTGCTCACTCTGTCGACCCCCTGGTTTTTGTATACTGATAAATTAAATTACATATATAAACCACTTAGCACATTGCTTACACATAGTAAGAATTAATATAAAATTATGTTGTTGTAGATATTTTTATGGTTATCATTTTTGTCTGGAAGTCTGGAGACGTTGACTATGGTCCTGGCTCTTTCTCTCACTTCTTTGTTACTCAGGACAAGTTCCTTCTCTTTCTGATCCATTTCTCCATGTGGGAGAGTAGAACCAGGATCCAGTTACATGTTTCTGATTTCTTGTCTCACAGCAAAATCCGTTCCCTTTTAACTGGTCCACTGAGGACTTGGGATCCACACATCCATCACTGGGCTGAATTATGGGCCAAGTAAAGCTCATCATGAGCCTATTCATCTAAACCAAATGCTTTGTCCTCTGAATTTATCACTTGTTTGGGTGAAATGGTCATTTGGTGTGATGTCTTCCCAGCTTAAGAAAAGTTCTCTGAAGACACTGCCTGTGTCAGGTGGACATTACATGCAATACCATGTGGTTAAGTCACTTCACTTCTGGAATCTTGGTTTTTTGAGACCCAAATCCCAGGAATGTCAAATCACTGATTCTCATATATCTTTGAAGTCATCTAGTCCAATTTTCTACCCCAGGTAATACTTGAATATGTCTCATGATGGGGTACTCACTGCTTCCTGAGGCAGTCCAATCATAAGAGTAACAGAATTTTCTCATTATCCTGCTAAAGGTTAAGTGAGATCTATCTACCAGCTGGGAAATTTTGGGACCATTTACTTCCCTCTTCCAAACTAAACCAAACCCACTGCCATGGAGTTGATTCTGACTCATAGGGATCCTCACAGAGTTTCTTAGACTGTAAATCTTTATGGAAGTAGATTGCCTCAACTTTCTCCCTTGGAGCAGCCCATGGGTTTGAAATACTGATCTTCTGGTTAGCAGCCAAACACCTTACCCACTGCACCACTATAGTTCCTTTATTTCCTTCTTATGAGTCTCTTAGAGGTCTCAATTTCTTCATCTCTATAATGAGACTAGAAATCCTCACCCTGCCCACCTTACTGGGCTGATCTAGTCATCAAGCAATACCATGAGTATGAAATTGTCTTGTAAACTATGAAGGTGATGAACCTATGAAAGTTTCCCTATGAATATCCAAATCTCTCTGAACTACTTTGATCACTAAAGTCCTCTCTGGTCTGATTAGATCTTCTAAGCAAGTTGCCCCATAGGAGGAAACTCTGAGAAACTGATCCTTGCTCATTGGGTCTGTCAGAATTTCCTCTTAGAGCAAAAGCTGTGATTAGATGACCCTGCCCCCAGCACCAAATCAGACCTGAATAGAGTAAGATATGGAGTTTCTAGAGCTGTCAAGCCCTAGTCTGACCCAAGACTGAAGTGACTCTTCAAGAGACAACTGCTCTCCAGGTGCTCGTCCATCCATCCATCCACCTAACTTTGATTGAGGGTCTGCAGCATCCCTGTGCTAGGCAAACTCACATCTAGTCCATGCCCTCATGGAGTTTCAAGTCTACACTCATTCTATCCACATTTCCAAGCCACAGTCACTACTAGAGTAAAAGCAAGAAAAGAAAATTACCCACCAGGATTTTCTGAATTTCTTCATTATCACACTTCACATGATATTTTACCATGTCCTGGAAAATGTCCTTTCTGTTTTCAAGTTTGTTCATTGACTCATAGGTGTCAGGATTTAGGACAGACCAGCCCAGGAATTGAGCCAAAGACTGAAAATAAAGAAAGGAAGAACCAGAGACAAAATACTCAGGTTTTGTCCTGATTCTGTAACACAAGGCAATACTCCCTAAGCCTCAGTCTTCTCATCTTTAAATGAATTTGATAAGTCATGTGGTGCTCACCTTTATTATGAAAATAAAATAATGAATGTGAACAGACTTTAAAAATCATAAAATCATACACACTAAGTGTCATTGTTATGAGTAATAACTTCACTAAAAAGGGAATGTAGATTTCTCTGATAGCCACGTAGCAGTGCAGAAATGAGAGGGAAGAAATTGGCTGTGAGGCTGAGTTCAGGATAGCTCAGTAAGGTGAGCATCCCACCCCTCCACATGATAGCACAGCAACATACCAGGGCCCTACCCTCACCTCTGGAAGCCAACCTTGGCTCAAGTTGACTCTGAATCCCAACAGCCCAAGACCTCCTGGCAGATCATACCTCCATGAGAGTCTCATCCATTTCATCAAAGGGTTTCCCATCTTTACGGTTGTAAAATGTGGCCACTCCAACAATTTCTTCCTTTTTGTTCACAATCGGCATAGAAAGGACATTTTTAATCATCCATCCGGACTCATCCAGAGGTTCTTTCTAGAAAAGAAAAGGCCAGGTTTGATTTCTTGGGTACCAAGCTGCTGAGGCAGCTGTGATGGATTTCACACTACATTGTGATCCTGGCAGAGACTGCTTGGCTGAAAGGAAGCAGCAAAAGGATAGAGTTTGTTGGATTTTGCATGACTTTGGTCACTAATCAAATGCCATGAGCAGATAATCTATTTGGTTGGAGTTGTTTAAGCCAGTATAATGGAGGTATAATAATAAGCAGAACTAGACTAAGAAGGCAGTATTTCCCTTTTAGATATGAGAGCTAACTGCAGGGGACTGGCTTAAAAGGGTAACGTTGGTGACCCTTGTAACTTTGAATCAATCAATTAGATAATAACCTGCACCTTTTGCCTCTTGATCTGACTTCTGTGTTAGTTTTGGTATATCACATCATGTCCTTGGGCCTCAAATCTATAGATGGGAACAGAAAAGAGCCTTGGTGACACTCAGCTACTAAGACAGGTCTAAGTTTTAACCCACTAGATGCTCCATGGGAGAAAGATGAGTCAGGTCAGTCTGTTTCTGCAATGATTGAAAAAAAAAAAAAGGATCTCTGGTGGCATAGTGCCTAAGGCATTTGACTGCTAACCAGAAGGTTGGTGGTTCAGATCTACCAGCTGAATGATTACAGCCTTGGAAACCTTATAGGACAGTTCTACTGTGTCCTACAGAGTCACTATTAGTTGGAATCAACTGAAGGCAATGGGTTTCAGATGGGAACAATAATAAGAGTACATGCTTCATGGAAAAAATGAGGAAATATAGGTGAAAGTTCTCAGTCAATTAAAGATGGTTTGGTGAATCATTTCCATCTCTCTGAGTCTCACTTTCATCATTTATAAAATGGGGATAACTAGATTTGGACATTTCTAGATTCTTTTTCCATTGATTTATCAAACATCTATGTTGTGCAAGAAAATGAGCTAGAAGCTGGAAACCAAGGACCTTGTTCCTGGGTTGCTCATAATCTGAGGATGGAAGGGTGAGGAGAGAGAGTGGAAGGGTAAATAAGCAATTACACTGTAGTGTAGGAAGTTGTCTACATAACATAAAGAGAGTTATCTTTATGTTACTGTGGGCACCAGTGGAGGGAAGCAGATCAAGGGAGGCTTCTTAGAATAAGTGAGCACTCAAGTTCTAAAGTTCCCAGATTCCTAAAGTGGAGAGATTATAGTTATTATTATGTAAATAACACTGGGAAATGAGACAATACTCTCTCAGCACTTAGCGGAACAGTGTCTCCAGAAGGATTCAAAACACAGCCCAATGAGCTGAGGAATGAAGATCAGGAAAGTTGAGGCAGCCTTCCCCTCAATTCTCTACCTAATCTTTCCTCTGAAGGCCAAGATAGATTTTATTGAAATTGAAATGAAAATTCATTAAAGATTCTGTTGTTGTAGAAAATATATGTTGTTGTTGTTATGTGCCATCGAGTTGGACCCAACTCATAGCGACCCCTCCTTGGGTTTCTAAGGCAGTATCATTATGGAAGTAGATTGCCCAAACTTCCTTCCGAGGAGTGGTGGTGGGTTTGAACCGCCAGCCTTCTGGTTAGCAGTCAAGTGCCTTAGGCACTATGCTACCAGAGCTCCCTGAAAATATATATGCAGAACATACTTTAATTCAACTATTTCTACATGCACAATTGAGTGAAGCTGATTACATTCCTCAGTTGTGCAACTATTCTCACCGACATTTTCTGAATTGTTCCTCCTACATTAACATAAAGGAGCTCTGGTAGCATAGTGGCTAAAGCATTTGACTGCTAACCAGAAGGCTGGCGGTTCAAACCCACCAGCCACTCCTCGGAAGGAAGTTGGGCAATCCTACTTCCGTAGTGATACTGCCTCAGAAACCCAAGGAGGGGTCGCTATGAGTCGGGCCGACTCGACGGCACACAACAACAACAACACATTAACATAAACTCAGGACACCTTAAGCTTCCTATCTAATCTCTTGACTTACTGTAATCAATTTGATATCATACAGTTATTTAAGGAGCTCTGGTGGTGGAGCTCTGGTGGCGTAGTGCCTAAGGCATTTGACTGCTAACCAGAAGGTTGGTAGTTCTCTGAAGGAAAACTGGGCAATCTACTTCCGTAAAGCTTTACCCCCTTGGAAACCCAATGGGGGTCACTGTGAGTCCGAAACAACTTGATGGCAGTGAGTTTATTTGTTTGTTTGTTTTTAGTTATCAGAAGGGACCAGTCCCTGGAGAAGAATATTATGCTTGGTAAAGTAGAAGGTTGGCGAAAAAGGGGAAGACTTGCAACACGATGGAATGACACAGTGGCTGTGACAATGTGCTCAAGCGTAGTAATAATTGTGAGGATGGCGCAAGACTGGGCAGTGTTTAGTTCTACTGTATTAGGGTCTCTATGAATCAGAACTGACTTGACAGCACCTAACAACACCATTGTTTGGTTTAAAGATTCCAGGGGATATTTTTTGTTTAAGATTAAGGTTTAAAGATTATCTCTGGGCAATTTTTAAGCAGGAAAGTGACTTGATTCAATCTGTGCTTTAAAAGAAATTAGGCTACTTTGTGGAGGATGAGTTGGAGGAGCAAGACCAGCATCTAAAAACAATATTTCATTTGACTTACTAATGTAGCTAACCTGCAATAAATTGGGTGACTTGGGTGAAAACCAAGTTTTGTTGTGGTAATGATCAGACTGGAGTTCCTGGGTGGTGCCAATGGCTAACTTGCTTGGTTACTAACTAAAAGGTTGGAGGTGTGAGTCTTCTAGAGGTGGCTCAGAAGAAAGGTCTGGTGATCTACTTCCAAAAAATCAGCCTTTGGAAACCCTATGGGGTACAATTCTATCCTGACTCACATGGGGTTACCATGAGTCAGAATTGACTAGACAGCAACTGGATACTGGTTTATGATCAATTCAGCAATCCTAGCAACCATCTGAGCTTATCACATTGACATGGTCAAAATCTTGACTTTGGAAGTATATTTCTTTTATGCTCTTTCATAATGTTTTTTAAAAACATTATGAAACATTGTGAAAAAAAATTCATCAGTGTGTTAGGCTGGGTTCTCTAAAGAAGCAAAACCAATAAAGCTTGTATTTACAGAGAGAAAGAAATTTATCTTAGGAAAATGGCTCGCATACTTACAGAAGCTGGCAAGTCCCAAGTTCCTGGATCAAATGTCAAGCTGGAGGTTTTTCCTGACTTACACAACTGCAGGGGCTGACGAGCTCAAGGTTGGCAGGCAGTATATCACCTGTTGACTCCAGCAAATAATGAATCCAAGATCTCTAGGCCAAATGGTGGATTGTTCACTCACAAACAGTTATAGGCAGCACAGCAAGATACTGATCCACAGAAGAGTGTCCACAGAAGGCATTTTCCTAAGATAAATTTCTCTCTCTCTCTCTCTCTCTCTCTCTCTCAGCTTTACTGGTTTTGCTTCTCTAGAGAACCCAGCCTTACCATTTGGTACCAAGTAGTTCTAGACAGATAAAATCATAAGGATGGGCTTCCTAAATTTGTTCTTACCAATTCTGTTTTGGTTCTTCAATATGATTAATCATAAAGGCACTGGTGACCCTGCCTCCATTAGTAAAGAGGGCCCTGCTAATCCATGATGTGAAGTGGCAACATTAATACACAAAATATCACCCCCAATAGATCAAGTATTTTTGAGAAATGAGGCTCTGGGTGACTGCATATTTGATACTTTTCTGCAATGTTGTCAGCATGAGGAGTATAAGGAAGCTGGTTGGTTGGTCCTACTTACACTAGACAAAGTGGTGAAAGAGCAAGGTGAGTTCAGGGCTGCTGAGTCACAGCTCAAGCACCCATAAAAGACCTCAATGTTTCCAGTTGTGCTCTGAAAGAAACCCTTAATTCTTCTAGTAACAGAGCTGATATTGCTGAGAACCAAACCCAGACTCTCATTTTAAGGGTGGGTGAATTACAATGCCAACTGAATTGCCAACCCAGAATGGTGTCTGAAGTTAAAGTGAGAGCACTGATTGAGAAAAAATGAGATCCTAAAACCTGGAATGGGGACATATGGGCAGACAAGATGATGAGGATATGGAGCCTGTAAATTCTGTTGAATCTCTCCCATCTGAAGGGATTACTATAAAACCATTATTCCTTCCACCTCTGTCTGATGGGATTAACCCAACTGTTCCTGCTGGGTCATTGCCTGAGTAGATGCTAGGGAAGACATTACTGAATGTTTTCAGGAACTTTCCCAACTACCCATTGTTGCTGCTAGACCTACAACTAAACTTAAGTCCAAGTGAGCCCCAAAAGGTGAAATACAAAGTGTGTTTGAGGAGGTGGTATGCTACATCTGAAAAGACCTACTTCATTTTGCTAACATGTACAAACAGAAACCTGGAGAATATGTATGGGAATGGCTACTGAGGTTGTGGGATAATGTGCAAAGAATGTAACATTGGATCAGTCTGAGTTTATTGATTTAGGCCAACTAAGTACAGATTCTTCATTCAGTGTTTCAGCTCAAGAGGTTAGGAAAGGGTCTAATTGTTTATTTGGTTGGTTTACTGAAGCATGGATTATGCAGTAGGCTACCTTAAGTCAAGTTGAAGTACCAGACCTGCCTTGGTATAATGTAGAAGAAGGTATCCAGAGGCATAGGGAAATTGGAGGAGCTCTGGTAGCATAGTGCTTAAGGCACTTGACAGCTAACTAGAAGGCTGGTGGTTCAAACCTACCAGCCACTCCTCAGAAGGAAGGCTGAGCAATCTACTTCCATAGTGATACTGCTTCAGAAACCCAAGGAGGGGTCGCTATGAGTCAGGTCTGACTCAACGGCACGTAACAACAACAACAGGGAAATTGGCATGTTGAAATGGATTTATCATATTAGACCCCTAGACCCAGTAATGGAGAGTCCAGAGGACACAACTTTCACCAGTAAGGTTAGGAACAAATTTGTGAAGGGACCCCCAGCATCCTTGAAGACTGCTGTGATTGCTATTTTACATAAGCTG